CGAATAGTGGGATTGACCGTCACATTATAACGCCCCACGGCTGAAAGGGCGAGCATGTTTGTTGTGAGAGGGATTCGAACCCGCGACCCTCAGATTGCGAGTCGAGTGCCTTAACCACCTGGCCATGCCGGGCCAAGCTAGAGAGAAGGCAGCGAGTCAAAAGCATCCACTTTAAACGTTTGTGCTACTGTTGTCTGGTCGAATAGTAGGATTTGATTGTTACTCTTATAGCGTACCCACATCCGTAAAGTAAGGATCATGTTTTTGCGGTAACAGGCCGCGAACCACGAACCATGGGATTTACAGTACGAGCACACTTACCATTAAAGTCACGACCGACCCTCAGCGATTTGGACAATTTGACCGAAAAAACAACTCAATGTTTTTTCGGGTAACGTTCAAAATGGCTGAAAAAATATCACTGTCATTCATAGCGATATTGGAGGTTTTATGGAATATCTAAATCAGTATCGTTGCATGATTCGAAGTTAACATATTATATACTGGATAAGTGATGTTTTATACATAACATGCATTGGCTTAACCTTCATTTGATAACACAATTTTTACTCAGAATGACTAACTGTCATAAGTCCATTACCAAAGTATGCAAGATAACCAGACATTTCGAGGAAGAAATATTTCATTCGCAAAATCAAGCATACTTACTGGTCGAAATTATGTTTGCTATCAAACACGCCTTGAACTGTTGCCATGGCAATGAAAGCGTTATAAACCCATCTATTAAATAATTAAAAAGAATATCTTCTTATTTGTTTTTAAAGACATGCATAGTAAAAGGATACCAGTTTCACCACGGAAACTCGAGATTGACTTGTGTGCCTTAAACGTAACATGCGATTTAAACATTTCAAAAACCTAATACAAAATAGGTTGATTTAATGAAATATATTTTCCTTTAATCAATGGTCGATCTTTAGAAACATAATTTATTTTATACGCCATATAAATTAAAAAGTCTATAATAATAATGATTTTCATCAGATGAAGTTTTTGGAAAGGTGACTACATAACAAAATAGGAGCATTATTTTAAGCGTTTATGCTGTAAAGTTTACTATTTTAGTTTATAGCAATTACTCGGGGTTATGTTTAAAAACAATTTGATTTTTGCTTATTTTTTTTCGGTTTCTAAACATCGTGTTTTCACATACTTTTTCTTCCAGTGGATGAAGGAATAATAATCGCAACAGTGGCTCTTTATGGCTTGTGGCTCATAAGTGCAATAACCCTACTTTATGGCAACTCTGTAAGTTTACAACCACTTGCAAGCTTAAGATCTTTTTCTTTACTTTTTTATTGAAATCAATTAAAGTTAAAAAGGGTTGATACATTCTTATTTAATTTAAACCAATCACAGATATCTTATAGAAAATTGTATAATTCTCGAAGAAAAATTTTTTATAAAAAAACCTGAGTTCTCCTCGGCACAAACAGACTGTAGAGTACAGAAAGTATTTTTGTTTTCAAATGTATAAAATAACAGACACCAGATTTCTAGTCAATAGTTTTGGTTTAAGAAAAACTAACTTATTTTGTAGCAGAATATATAACTGCTGATTGTGGTAATATTAAAAGTTTTTCCCGTCAATTTTTCAACCAAAATGTGAAAAAGCGTTTAAAATAGAGATTACATAAAACTATACAAGAACAAACAGTGACCTCTCATTTAAAGATAATTCTAAAGTTTGTGTAATAAAATTATTGTTAATAAGTTATCATCGTCTGCTTACCGTAGAATGTATGACTATCTTAAGAGTTATTTTTTTTAATCACATTAAAGAAGATAAAACTAACACTTTCGACAGGTGAACATATATTCACAAGTACAGGAATATGATAGGTTCTCTTGTTGTTTTTTTAAATGTTATCCCAATTTGTTAGTCCTACGTGTTTTGTACTATCATAAAGTATATATTCTTTAAATATATTATATAAAGTTTTAGTATTGCTTTGATAAAATATTTTTCTAAACAACCTAAGTACTTAAAAACTAGTATTTTTAAATATAAACTTTACAAAGAATATTATGCTAGTACAATTAATTATTTTCATTGTAATAAAAATATACAAACTGTGTTAGAAAAGAACTTTGAACTTATATCTTATATGCTAACCACAGTAAATTAGGATCAACAAATGTCCATATACAACATTAATGTTTATGATATAAGGAACAAGACATCACTTATTAACACAGTCCTCGTTTCTTCCATCACACAGTAAGGCTTAACATACCATCTTGGTAAAACGTAAGTGTAACGAGTGTGGTGTTACGAATCCATTTGCGTCCAGCTGTTTTAAGGTCAGCAGTTGCATTAACTGTTACCAATTCGGATCTTTCGTGAGAGTACCAAGAAGATATGGAAGTCAAAGGGTTATAGGTTAGAAGCTTTTACGTGGGAAGAGGAAAACTGCTACTTGAACATCTTAACTGTGGTCGTTATACAACGAGTAATATGGAGCCTGGCATTTATCATGTTGCAGGAGAACAAGGGTGCCCGGCATGGCCAGGTGGATAAGGCGCTCGACTCACAATCTGAGGGTCGCGGGTTCGAATCCGCATCCCACCAAACATGCTCGCCCTTTCAGCCGTGGGGGCGTTATAATGTGACGGTCAATCCCACTATTCGTTGGTAAAAGAGTAGCCCAAGAGTTGGCGGTGATGACTAGCTGCCTTCCCTCTAGTCTTACACTGCTAAATTAGGGACGGCTAGCGCAGATAGCCCTCGTGTAGCTTTGCGCGAAATTCCAAAACAAACAAACAAACAAACAAGCAGGAGAACAAATACTCCTTAGGCGCTGGGATACTTGGTTCGTACGCCACGAGCATACTCCGACAGTGTTTTCGTTTCACATTGTTGGTAGCACTGGCAGCAAATAGCCAACGAATACAAGATCATTATTGCCTTTGCTTGTCATTTTGTAATTGTACTACATGCCACCTATCGTGGAAATACTTAATAAATGATGCCGTTAAAAGGGGACGGATGTTAACCAACTAACAAGGTCGTTCGTTGGCTGCAATTTATTCATACCTACCATTTTTCTCTGAACATCTTTTCATTATAATAGCAAAGTTCCTGCATTTCTTAAGCATAAGCCAGTAATATTTATCATTGCTTACAAAGCTAAAATAAAAAGAATAATAATTTATCAACAGTATAAGCACCAACTGGTAGACAGTCGATTCACGTTTTCAGGAAAAATTGGAAGATTTTTTCCCCTTTTCTCAAGTGATTTACATGTTTTACATGATGAACTAAATTTTATTGAATAACTTCACAATTAACTAGAAATCCTTCATTTTAGCTGGACAAATACAAGTTCCTCTTTCATTGAATAGTTAAAACCAAAATTAAATAATAACCAGACAGTGTTTTTACTGATTCTTAAATGTTTATTATTATTATTGACATACAGTTTAATCATTTGGTTTTGTATTCCAGGTGAAGTCCAAGGCTCTAATCATATTCTGGATGGTTATCACTGTTCTAATAATTCCTTTCAAATCTGTATGGACAGGATACTATGGATTCAGACTACAGGTTTGCAATGTTACTTTTTTTTCAGTACCGTTGGCATGGCAGAGGATTCACTTTGTTGTAATTCGCGCACACCTATTCAAGGGTTAGCTGCGCTATCCGTTTCTAACTTTGAAACGACAGACTAACAGAACATTCAGTCGTGTGTGCTCAAAATACAACACTGTGCTATATCAGTAAATACTCGCATTTTGCTTAAAACTGCTGACTGTTGGAAGCTAGATGTTAAGGTGAGGAATCAAGGTCACCTACACACTTGCAAAAAAAGTTGTTCTTATTTTCAACAAAATTTAATTTGAAAAAGAACTCTTTTTATATGCACAGAGAAAGAAAAATGGATTTAGGGTGATAGACAGAAAATCAAGACACCTAATAAAGTTTGGAGACGGCCATGGGTAGTGAAAGAAACTTTATTACAAGTGTACAACGTTTCGACAAGTTTTTGTCATCATCAAGTACAAAGCCTTCATTACCCATTTAAGTCATCTCTGAACTTTATTTTCTAAAAAATGGGTTCCTCGTCATCAAATATGATATCAAGATACCTTATACATTAAATGAATAACATGGTCAAACAACTCTAAACCCAAATATTTGTTTGCTGAATACACAAAAAAGCGTCTTTTTTT